ACACGACTCGATCGGCGACCGGATTATAGGAACGGGTCGGGCCATGGGTGCGGGCGGGGGTGGCGGCAGCATAGAGATGGAGGTGTTGTAGTAATGGTGGTGCGGCTGATGGTGCGGTACGTTAGACATCTGTTTGGGGCTTCGGTTTGGGTCCATATCACTTCCCGGACCCTATTGTCACCGAGTATTATACATGTATTAGTTCATAGGAATGGTGTGTTTCCATTGATAGGGAGTCATACCTGAGGTCCGTTGCCATTGTTCTGGGCCTCCTGACAGACCAGGTTCACAAAGTCTGAAAGGGTGTCCCCATTCTCCTGATACTTTCCGGGAGGCAGTGAATAGTAAGCGTTTTGTGATGATATCTGACCGATAGATAGCCCGGAGCCCGACGATGAGGTCAGTACCGGGGAGTGAGAGTGCGATAGATAGGAGTCCTTCAGTTGATTGGCTATACCTTCGAGGGTTTCATAATGAAAATTTTATTAATTATTAATTTTTATTGCAAATTTATTAAATGAGTTTTATTCGTATATTAATTTAATTAGAAGTGATTTTAATTATGAAACAAAATTTCTTAATTAAAAGCATTTAATGTTTTGTTATCTAAAAATCTCTGAACCATTGCTTATAAGTTATAACTAATAAATAAATTGATTTTTAATTAATAGTGATATCGCTTGAAGTGATCAATTAATTTTCCACTAATAGTGTAGTTATTCTGCAATTAAGTGCCAATTCATTGCACCCTGTATCTATTTGTTCATAGAGTATGCTTTCATTGAGACTGATGTGACCAAAGGAACTGTAGCTGGGAAAGGGATCAGTTACATTTAAAAATAATTTATCATTCTCCGTCAGTTACGGTTTTGTTTTTTAAAGTTTGATTGTACTGTTTTAATATTTATTTTTAAATTTAATAGTTTTGTTTGATTTTTGAAAGGTTTTAGGGCAAAGTTATATGTCGTGACTCCTATGCATACATCAAAATTGAAGCTAATTTTATAGTCACTTATTTCTGTGAATTCAGTGACAGTAGCTAACAATATGAGTGAAATTTCTCATTATTTTCACACTAAAACAAAACCCCTTTTTGTAAAACACATGTAATAAGAGATCTTAAAGACAATTACAACATATAGTTGTGTGGCATCTCTCACAAAAGCCCTCCTATCCTCCCGTTCCCCCACACACTCGGCGTTCACTGGTCCATGACTTTTGAATAGCGAATCCTCACTCAAACATCACATCTGATGAGTGAAATAATTTTTGTTTCATTCACTCTCTTATCGCGAAAACACAATTCAAAAGTACTCTGAGTTAGTAAAAAAAGTTGTACCATAAAAAAAGCTGTGAGTGTCAAACGCTATCAAATAGTGTGACAATTGAAGTGATGCCATAGTTTTGAGGGATGTATAGATTTTTTAATACAAGTTTGTATAGTATTTGTATTTTTCGCCCGAAATATAATCAAAAGAAAAGAAAAGATTTCTCGCTTTGAAAAAAAGTTTGTGTCATTCGTTTGAGACGTTTGTTTGATTCAACAGTTTGTCGGGTAATTGTGAGCTCGAGTCTGACGAGTGGCTCACGGTTTTTGTCTATAGGTTTTCGCCTCAATTATAGCCGACTTTTTTCACTATATAGACGACACACCGGACTATACTTTGTGTGTAAACATAGTGTGTGTGTTCCCTAACATTGCATTTATTTTATTTATTTTCTTTGTATTCTTCATTCTATACGTTGTGTACAATGAGCCGCACTCACAGAGTCTCTATTATGATCAATGGTGCCGGTATATATTTTATGTGCTAGATAATTTAGTGTTTGCATCAGTATGCGTGAATATTAATAGGAATTTGGGTTTTAATGTTAGAGTTATAAATAAATAATTTAGCATAATTGAATTAATGTGAAAAATTAATATAATTTTTAATACCTTTTTGTATTTTCTTATTATTAGAAAATATAATATTAAATAAACTAGAAACTTTAAAGTATTGTATGCTTCAAAATCACTATACAGTACAAAAATATTTTCTTAAATTTAACAAAAGTTCAATATTAAAATATAAAATAAAATAAGTACTGAATTTGTTTGCATACCTTCCCTATGATGTGAATCATTAATCGATTTATTAGACAATTCTTTAGGTGATTGTGAGCAGTGGTAGTGCTGTCCGGTAGGCAGCACTTCCTGTTTGATCTTGACGTGTGGCGACATATGGAGGTGCTGTGGACCGGGCACGTGGTCCGACATATCGGTCTGCCACGACTGAGCGTAATATTGCAAATCACTGGAACCCTTGTCCGGATCGGTATCGTCTTGAGTGGTGAGCCTGCGCTGGCGTTTGGTGTTGTGGTGGTGGTGCTGGTGCTGCACATCACTGCCCGGACTAGACGTGGAGGCCGTGTGGCTGATGGTTAGGTGCGTGTTATGGCCGGCGCTGGTCATGACCGACACGTTGCCGGCGCCCCCGGACGACAGGTTCGACACCGGTATGGAAACGGCTAACGTGTCGTTCGGATCGTCCGGCGAATAGTTATTGCAATAATAGGAACCGACGTTTGGCTCCAGTTTTATCACATGTGGAAGTCCTGGTGATTGCGGTTGTATTATAGAGGCTATCAGTTATACAAAGATTTTTTTCGATCCAAATCATTAGTTGTTAATTAGATATGAATTGACAAAATTATTTTCTAATATATTTACAAACTATTGATTGTTTTCTAATGAAGTGATTGAATATTAATATAAGAAGAATAGAGAAAGTTTTTGATCGATATTTTTATAACTGTCAGTAACTGTTATAACTGTTTTTTATAACTGTTTTATAAATAGTTGTTCATTATATGGGGGTTTTCATGGCATTGTTTAACTCATAGCTTATTAATTGATGGCTTATTTGAGCATTATTACGAATATTACTGAAAGTTATAGAAAATACTATTTGGTTTGTTTGGTAACTAAAAGGTATACTATTAGGCCATACCTTTAGAGAGCCGGTAGAGCTCGGCAGAAGTGAAAACCCCAGTGGCTAACAGTGTATTTGCATTATTGGTTTCTCGATGTCTCGATATATTAACATTCATATCATCCTCACTCTCATTATCACATGTGTCTTGAATGCCTCGCAAATGGTCTAAACGTATGACACAAACAAAATGTAGTCATTATATCTTATTTGTCTAATAAATGCTTATTTTTATATTTAGATATTGTTTTGTCTAGAAAATTATATTTCATTTTAGAAATAAGTATTGAATAGAGAATTTTTATGTGATATACCTCTATACCAGGGTTCATAAAAAAATAAAATTTCAAAGTTATGTTTTAATTGCTTTGAATACATTTAAGAAAAGATATAATTTATGTTAAGAATTTCATGAGTTTACAGAATAATAGAATATTCTGTAAAATAAGCATATAATGTGGATATAGAGAGATTTAAACAAAAAAGTAATAATAATAAAAAACATTCATTTAAACACATAATAACATAACTTATTTATTCGTTTGAGAGTTATAAATAAAATTTTCGACTAAAAACACGCAAAATATATTTTCAGAGATATATATTTTGTCAAAAGTCATTAAAAGTGTGTTCACTGACGACTCGCAGATAAGAGTCACCTGTTTTTTCTATACAAAAGCCCTCCCTTTCCCATTATACGATACATGCATGTGATATGTGATGAAAATGTAAATTTAGACTTTCTAGAAACGCATTGTATTGTAATTTAATAATCACTTGCACAATTTTTATAAGTCTCTCTCTCTCT